GTAATATCCGATTTAAAATACTTACTCATTCATAGACCGCATATATTAGTGTACCCACGTCTCGGGTCATTTGACAGTACGTCCTATATCCACGCTTAAAAATTCCTATGTTTTGGTTACGACAAGATCGGATATGATTACATACAGAAGACCTAGAAGTTCACCCACATCGAGTCACGAGCAGTGGTCATTCGATACTATTACTAAAATTATCACAGATTAATGATTATTTAAGCTATAATTTCACATACATTTTGTGGCGGCGTGGTCGATGGGATAACTATTTATCTAAAGATTGCTGGCCACATGGGCTTAAACCCCGTCAGGGGCAAGCCGTTGTTTCCTTGATCAAGAAACTTTACATTCATTGCTTAGCACTGGTTGGTTCTAGGAACAGATTCGAGAATGTTTCAATAAGCTTATAGCTTCCAACACAACCGAACTAAAATAAATTTAAATTAATTCTCATATGCATTGATTGAGAGCAAGCTTTGTTTTTTGAGACCTTTGTTTAAGGGCAAAACCATTTTCAGACGTGTTTACGCCTATAAAGGGGAAAAAGATACTTTTTGAAATTGTGAGTTCTTCTCAATTCAAAGGAAAAAGCAAGATAATCCTTTCCTGAGATATTGTGCCGTGAAGACTTCCGGTCAGGAATCTTCAAATGTACACGTATGTACAAGGTACACGGTAATAAGTCACATCTTTTTTTCATAAAATTAGTACATGTAAATTGTCACGACATTCCTTATTTTGTTATTGACGAACATCAAATGACGTTAGGCCCTATCCTTGTTCACGGCAGTTCCTTCGAATGAGTGTTCCTGTTTATAGGATTGTACCGAGGCCACTTCAATGGCATCTTACGGTCTTGTCGGAGAAAGCCGAGTTGTTTCGATTGTAGATTGTAGCAATCGGAACACATCGGACAACTTCAATAGTCATTCTTATGGAGCCGAGTTGAACCTTGTGGGACTCTTACGGAGTTGTCGGAGAAAGCCGAGTTGTTACGATAGAAGATTGTAGTAGACATCTTACCGACCCTTGTGCCATTATTAAATTTCTCAGTATTTGTCACCTTTTTTCAATCTTTTTTATTTTCATTGTATATATAATATAGACACTAGATCTATTATCGTCCTCGTAAGTCAGTACCTGGATCATCATCATCATATGATGATGATGATCATCAGCAGCATTATCATTATCATCATCACCATGCAGTAACCACGAACATACGAGTAATCACGTCGTTACCGCCATATAGGCTATTTTTATTATATGATTTAGTACAACCCCCTTAGGTTCATCATTCAGTCACTGGCACTAGTGCGACTCGAACGTTGTTATACACAGACAAGCTTTGAAGGGTCATTTGCAATAAATACAGAATGTTAATGTTTAAAAGGACATATAGGGCCTAAGTATATTTCTTTCAGTACCTGTCGTGAAAAAAAATAATCTTATACTTTTAGAGAGAGAGAGAGAAAAAACATCATCTGACATTTAGAATCTACTTATTGAAATTTTGCTCAATTGAACTCTTCCCTTAATTAGCTCAATTTACAGTTAGAAATGTTGCTAAAAGCTTGCTGTCGTCAATGTGTAGGTCTGTAACCTTTCCACGCGCCTACTTCTTCTCGTTATGACGTCACGAATAATCGATCGCAAGACGAGTTATTTATCGGATTGACAGGAGCGACAAATTTTTCAAATACAAAACATGTTTACTGCAGGGACAAAATAATAGTATCTATATTGGATTTCTAAATAATACATATCTATTAATCTACAAATGTATTTAACCATCTGTTATTCGACGAAGAAAATTGTTTACGAGAGTCCATTAGCTAGTCCATTTTAAAGGCCCATTTAGCCTCCATTTTAAAGGCCCATTTTGCGCCAAAAATGGATTTTTTTTCTAAAAGTTTTTGTTTGTGCCCTTTAACGTTTAAAAATAAGCTTCAATTTGTCATTTTAGCGCAGTCTTTCTTTTTTCTTCTATAGCATTTTGGTAAAAGTGGTTTAATATTTTGTATGGAAGCCAAAATATCACTTTGTTCACATTTTGCTACAATAATGAAAAATTATTTCACTTCCAGCGTTACTCTTTTCAGGTGATAAACATCTGACATGCTCTAAGATCTATAAGTACATGTACCCATGACTGTGCCTTTAAGGAGTAGTACACGATGGAGACAACACTATTCTTTCAAAACATTATAAATACATATAATAATTTGTAATTTGTAAATAAATATTGTCATGTATGAAATTTGACCTATGTAGAAAATGGTGTGGTTTCACATCTGTCTCTTGTTTTTACTTTATTTATTCAATAAATTTTACATAAGTAACATTTACAAACATTTCACAACAAAGAAATTCAGACTGGATTGAAAAACAAGTAACACAATACTTATACCAGTAAAAGTTAAATTTTCAAAATAACAAATTGCGGTTAGATGTAAGCTCTTTGAATATACAATGCAGAATAAGAGAACATTTTTGATTTGTCAGTTGTTTTCATGCGGAAGAAGTAGTAGAAGAGCCAGCATGGCACCAGTAATATGAATCTTAGATATGAATTTCTTTTGTCATTTTTTTCTCATGCAGGATGGAATACGTTATGGCTAGATCATTTGCCCTGGTTGGTTTTTTTGTTTCAATTTTATTTTCTATTTTTTTTTTTTTTTTTTTTTTTTTGCTGTAGAGCGTTTGTCTCCACAAGGACGGTAATTTTTTTGTTCACGATACTATAAGTGTTCGCGACAACAATTGGTCCACATTCACCACGGGCGATTGCCTGGAGTTGTTGTTTAGCTTTGTTGCTGTTCCCTTCTCTATGTATTTTCCATAATACTGTTCGGGGCGGGCCGATCATGACTTTGGCCCAACCCATCTGCTACATAGTATATTAATTTGCAAACCTGTTGTTTCTGCGTACCTTTTTACACTTATATAAGCAATAAAATATAACTTAACTGTTTATGTTAATTTGAGGAATACGCACTCCACGAGTTGTTTCCCTTACAGAACCTACACTAGAATGCCAATGTAGGTCAAACATCAGAAATTCAGACGCTGCAATGTTTGTATGTTTTGTATCGAATAAAATCCAATCATACGAAAGAAAAAGAAGAATAAAAAAACATATATAATTTCTACAAATCAGCAAAACCCACGTCTTCCTGGTTAGTAAAATTTTCCCTGTAAGTAAACTGTTTATATTTAGCCATTCATAGTTTCCCAAAGTTATATTTAGAAAAGTGACGTAATTTTCCCATTTAAGTTATTTTAAAACCCTGGTTATTTTGGAAAAATACGGTTTTACAGAAAAATACCTGAAATTCATGTTTAATATGTCGTCTGCAAGAATTCAAACATTCAGCAAAAACGAGATAAATATCTTTTATAAGAGAAATGTTGTATTTGCACATGTTTCTACATGTAGTTTCAACGCATATTTTTTAAGTTTTTCAAGTTTTATTTGGTATTTTTCAAATGTGTGTGCATGGTCAAATTAAAGTGTGTGCATGTACCTTCCTTACTGATATTAAGAAAACTGAAACAAAAGATTTGCTCTGGAACTACAATTAACCCTAGCTTGCTAAAAACCAGCATTTGCCCCTAAAGAAACAATTTCAGGAAAAAATGCACAAATAAATTAAAAAAAAACAATGACTGTTCTAAAAATATCTCGATGCCTTGGCATGTCTAAACAGTTGGACTAAGAATCAAACCATTTATTTATTTATTTATCCGTATATGATATCCTTTAGAATTAGAAAAAGGAAGTACGAAATTCAAAGCAGTACAAAATTATTACCTAAGGGGTATTTTTAGACCAATTTAATTTTGTAAATACTTACTAAAATATCACGGATCTTAACATATAAATCCGAGCTAATACTATTTTTTTGCAATCTAAATATATCTATATGTAACAACTTTTTCATTGCCAAGTTGATCATTCAATGAAACAATTGTTTTTAAACATATTGCTGAAGAATTTAATTGAAATGTAAACAACTAGGCACGTCTTCATAGCTTTCGTTATGTAAATGTCTTAACAAATTATACAATTTTAATAATAAAATGTGGTACGTATAGGGCTATGCTTACGTCATTCTGTGCGGTAATAGATCTGTATAATGTTAAACAGTTGCAATAAAATATTTTGACATAGTTAAAATTTCAACGCACCTACATTTTAAACATAAACTTGTTGATGTCATAAAATGGACGCGACTCAAAGGTCAGTAACTTATTAAAAAGAGCAATACACTTTCGAACATTGAGATGCCTCTCTTTATCTAAAGATTCTTTTTTCTAAATGTCATACTTTTTCTCTTTCCGTTGAAAAAAATATCGGCTGCTATTGATACATGCGTTAATCATGCTCTTAGCCAATTAATCATACATTCTTAACATTCCTAGTCGTTTATTTTTAGTCTGAGTTACTCCCGAGTCCCAGGCCAAATATTTACCGTTATTATTTTCGTCTGCTACATTCACCGTCTGCTCCTTTAGCATCTTTTGTTTGTCTATCAACAAGTTTCCACACATCTGCGTGCTACTACCCAGCAAATAAATAGAAACCGTTAGAATCGATTTGTTAATCGATAGACGATCAAAAATTCTTTGTCTGTATTCAAACAAAGATTTTTATTGCTATTAATCGAGTAAAACTAGTTCACACAAGTTTTCCATAATTTTAGATCACGTGGTATGATGAGATAGAGGTTCTACTGAATGTACCGTGACTCAATATCCCACAAATCTCACGGTACTATGACTACGTGCTTCTCCTTTATTTGGCGGGTCAAATCTATAAATAGATTTTAGTATCACGCGGAAAATAACACAGATATTTTAACACATTACACTGATTGGTCATTTATGATCGCTATGAATGACGCAGTAGATATCGGCGTTTTCGATTGGCTAATAAATTTCAGACTGACGTCAGTTGTTGAAAAGTCAATGCTTTACTATCAAATTCTCATTGTAGTATTCGACACGCCACGAGTAACATTAATCTCGCGGTGTAACAAAGATAAACAGATATTGATATTAGACAGTAGGATTTATAAGTTTTTGAAAGTTATTATTTGGACTTATTAGTTATTTGGATTGATTAGAGATCAAAATGAGTTCATCAACGGAGGCACAACGATTAATTGCTCTGTCTCTCGGGAAAATAGCAATGTCCAGACAACAACGTGGTGGGATCAATTTACATAAGAACTTACTTGTTGCGAGTGTCTTACATAAAGCTCGGACAACATACATGATGGATAACTTTCAAACATTGTTGGCTAACAAACGTGCTCAGGCTGAGCGTGAAGCAGCAGCCAAAATGATTGTTGAAACTCCTTGTGAATCAGGCAAAAAAACTACGGAAAAATCAACAATGGATACGTCCTACCATACGCGTGGGGTCACTGACTGTAACAAAGCTAACGATACTGGGGTACCCAACGGGGAACGTCCCGAAACTAAAAACAGTGGCGCGTCTGATAAGGAAAATGTTATTCCTGTTAAACAGAATCGCTTGGAAAATACCATAAACTCATGTAACGAGAAATCGGATGTTAGTGATAAGAAATCCAGTCAACGGGACATTATTGTAAACAATACACCGGTTGTAACCGGAAAGTTACCGTTATCTCGGAACAATGGAAACACGAATTACGTCAGCCAATTACCGTCCTGCAGGTGCGCCGGTGGCAAAAGAAGGCGATCTTTTGTTGACTGTGATACTGAGCCTAAAAAGCCACGATTTGAGGAGTATGAAAATAGTGACTCAGATAGCGATTGTGAAAGTGACTCAGGTGACAATTTTGAACAGATGCAGACATCGGAGTCTACTCAGGTGAAAAGTTTAGTTGACATTTTCAGTTCGGGATTTCACGGTCTATGTCCGGAATCTGAACAGTCACAGCAACAAAGTTCAGGACAAATTAATGTGTATGTTAGTACGGACAGACCATTAAACGGTCACCAGTATGTATTGAAGGACTTAAGTTGTGCGACCCAGATAAAGGACAGTGTAGCGATGCACACGGCGATAGCTCTTGCTGTTTAAAACAAACATTAAAAGTTAAAACAGTCTTGGAAATATATATAGACATACCAATTTGTGTTTATTGTCTTCAGAAGGTGCAATGCGTTATGACATAATATTTATTTTACAAATCGAAAATGTGATTTCAGATTTAGATGGTTTTAACTTGTGTGTTAGTTACTTATGTTACAAGTTTACCCATGGCATCACCTTTAATCAGTCATCATTACACAGTCATTATTTAAACAAACAGAATTTTAAGCATTTCTGAGTGATACTTTTACAAACCACATTTCATTTTTGTGCTGTTTTGTAAATTGATTCTTTTTACATAGAATTCATGTTAATTCGTGGATATTTAATTTGATAGGGACTAGGGAGTGACAGCTTTTGTTTGTTATTTCATTGTTATTGATAAAAGGTCAGATATCCATCAAATTTGACCCTGAACATGACATTTAAACTGCCACTATTTCTTTTAAGTATTACAAATTTTATGACGTAATTTTTGAACGTAAAGCTCGAATGGGTTTATTACAGTACTGTACATTAAATTACAATGAAACGGAGGAAATGCGTGTTAACACTTGAGTAGTCTTGTTTACCTGCCCAGACAGCGTACGTTTGGGTGTAACCGTTTATGACCTACATATCGCCTTTGTATCGTTTAACCTTAAAATGCAACAAAGGAAACAGTTTTTATCCCAGCTCAATTATTCGTGATACCTATATATATTTTCTGATTTAGTTTGATTTCATTTGCTTCATTTTTCATATCTATCATTTTTACGCCTATATTTATTTGACCTACTTTCGCCGTCTCGTGAAAAATCAACGGCGCGTGAATCGATTAATTATTTGTAAGCTCCCGTCTGTTTGAAATTTTTGCTAGATCACGACGTGTTGACGTAGTCATGGATTTCATTATACAGGATATTGTTTACCAAAGAGAAATTCTTTATTGATTGTTATACACCGAACAGCGCGACTATCTTTAATCCGATTTATTTCATGTAAACAAGTGCGACCTGCGCAAGTAGTAGGTTATTTACGGAGACTCTAGAGGTGAAGGAGTGTAAACAAAATAGTCCTATAAATATAAATAGAACAATACACTCTTTGTTATCAAAAAATGGGTGTGGCATGATGAGTCTTTAAGGATTGCAAAAGAATTTCTTAACATCTAGTCTTGTATACTTTAAGTTCATATTTTGGGGATGATTAAAAATAGTCAGGGGTTGATACATTTATAGTAAAAATGCTCTGATGACTTAATTAGAGGTCATCGGTCGTAAATTTAAATTATTTTGAAATAATCATAACGAGTTGAATGTATGTCTATGATAATAATTTCATGAGTGAAATCGGGAGTGTACTTGACCAGTGGTTTATTTATTGTGAAAGTGAGTTAGTTAATTAGTAAATATTGTTGAGAGTAAATGAGAAGTGAAAATGAAAGATTGTGAACAAAATAGTTCTGCCATTTTTATGGACAATGTGTAAATATTTGATGATTATTATATATATTTATTGATAATGATGATATTAAAAAAGTTGAAAAAACTATGAAAATAAAAATATCAAAACAGTTATTTATTGTTCTTTGTTTATTTAAAGATAAAAATACTACAAAATATTGCATTTTTCAAAGATATATTCGTAGATAAATGCATTGTATAGAGTTTTCTGCAACTGTGTTAGAAATGGCTATAGTATTGGGCATTCACCTTATTATGTAAATGACGTAGGTATTTAAACTATTTATGGACTATTATATGAAACTGTTTTTTCATCAGTAAAATATACTAGTCTACTACAAACCACTCCATGGGTTAATATCCTGTATGACGTTCATATTAATTGTTTAGTTGTTTATTTATAAAGCTAATAATAACTGCCAAGGCTTAGGTCTCCCAGGCTTTATTAGTTTATTGAACACCGGGTCATTGTTTTCAACAAAAAGTAAGCTTATATAAAGACCCATATTGTGTAGAATCTCAAGAGTTTTCATTTAATAAAAACTAATTGTTAAAAGGAAATTGAAGAAAGTCTTACAAAGCGAGCCACATCTAGATTTACATGTCCTACTAGAAAAGCATAAAATCTCACTGCTCACTATTTTAGCAGTTACAAAGTAATAGGTAAAAGTTATATTTCATAAAAAAAACAATGAAGAATTACCACGTGACAGTGTCATACGCGTACTGCGTGTAAAAAGGTTACAGTTAACATAAAAGGTATAGATCTGGCAACATTAAAAATGAAGCTTAAGTGCAATTAAAATAAAAGTCCCACGCACCTTGCTTCTTTGTTCAACTAATACTTATATTTCTTTGAATAACTCTCATTTGTGGTTTAAGGGATAGCTATTTATGGGATAGTTTCTTATATGTAACAAGGCACGCAGTGCATTAAAGTGAGTGTACTAACATTGAGTAATTGCTTTGTGGGATTAATAAATACTAAAGTTGTATTATGTACAATTTTAGGAAATCTTGCGAATTTTTGTTATGAAATATAAATTATATGCACGGATAGTATAGATTTTTATCTTATTAGAGCCCTTATGTTTGTTTATCGGATTCCTATGGTAACTACCGTTAATGATAAAACATGTATGCGTTTATTTCACATCACCTGGGGAAAATCGATATAATTCGTCGCCAACAGACGCTTGCAACCATAAATATTGTTAAATGTTAAAATCAATAACCGATTTTGTGACACTTGTGTGTGTTTAGGACAGGCAGGTGCGAATATCTAGGTGTGGAACTGATTGGCTATCACCATGGCAATGGCTTGACAACAATATAAACACCTGTTCCTAACGGACAAAGGTGATGCCGAGGTCACTGTTGTTAAAAATTTTAAGCGAAATGTTTAAATTTAACCATGGTTTTAACCGTTATGACGCTGTGCCTAAGTTTTTGAGTTGTAAACGTTTTATTTGTTACATGCTCTTCAATTCTGGAGGAAAATCATGTAAAAGTATCTATCTATCTAGCAGTTGTTTCTTTTTTTACTATTTCTTACCTTATAAAATCGGCAACATTATAATTATAAAAAAACACCAATGAGATAAATCTATGACAACTTTTTTGTACTTACTTAACAGTAAAGTTTGCTTGTCATTTTGAGATCGATGTCATTAAAGTAATTAATAAAAGAAGAAACTCGTAAAACCTCTAATTAAGTGTAAGTAGACCAGATTCACACAGTTGTGAATGGAAACACACGTCAATGGCTGTATGAATTACGTCAATTCTTAGCCTAGTTTCTATTTTTGATGTTGATCATGATTACTTAGACAGTAATTTGTAATACTTATCTTAAAAAAGAATTGCAAGATATTTTAAACACAGAAAACAGAAGTGAGTGAGTGAGTGGTGTCTGTACGTGCATACGCGCGTGCACGCACGAGTGGCTGATTTTTGGTTGTGATATGTTCATATCAGGAAAAATAAATTATGTCATTATAAAAAGTAAATTGAAATCTCGCCGTTAATTAATGCATTTAAAATTAAATTTTATTGTCTGATTTTAAATATACATTTTTTTTCGTTCAGTAGAGCTACATTAAGTATAAAGCTCAACAGATTACTACGTTAAAATCAAACAAACTCACAACTTCGTCAAGTTGTTGTTATTTTCAATTATGTTTTGTAAAATAATAAAACTCTATTGATTTGAAAAAAGCCGACTAGCTGCTAGGCGGGCCACAAATGTAGCGCATTCTTTCAACTTTTGATCCACCCATTGACGTATAGAGTCAAATATGCACAGCAGGCATATCTATTTTTGATAATTCGTTCCCATTTATCTCAGAATGCATGTTTTACAATTATTTGTAAGCAGATTGTATCGAAAATCTCCAAAGGTAGAGCACTTACTCTCGAGCACTCCGTTCATTTAAACATAACGCTCACGTGACTCAGCAAGTTTATCGTTTCCGCCAGGTACGCTTATCAGTTTAGTTATTATGCATCTTGCCATGTTACCGGTTGATTAAAATCTTTAAATATTTTCCTGAGCACCCAAGGTGTAAAATTCTATATTTAGAATGTAATTAGAAAATTTTAGAAACAGAACGGTTTCATATGCATCACGTTAGAAACTAAATTATAAAGTCGTAACTTTTCGGCAATTCCGAATTTGATACAATGTGAATTATAGAATTTATAAAATCACCTGATTTGTCAAATCTCAAGACGTCCTGCTGTATACATCAAATATATATTTTGGTCCTTATTATATATTTCCTTCACATACCCGTGCCGATTTTGCGACTCCGTAAAAATGGTATTGCACGGGCGTGCATATATTTTGACGTGAGGTCATTTGCGTTATTCACAATAGTATTAAAGACGCCCTAAATGTTAGCGTTACACTGTACACTGCCAATGAAAAATGATTCTTTTTGCACTCTAAACAGTCTTTCTTTTGGGTATGTGATAAATAGAATATTATATTCGTGTAACCAGAGGCTCGTTCGATATCCTCTATACGTAAACTATATTTGGCAAGTCTATTTCACAAATCTGTCAGAACAAGGGTTAATATGGAATCTTTATGGAGTTTTGAACATTTTGTGTCACCTATATAATTTCCCTTCACTTCTCTCATATGATTAACTTCAAGGCCTGCTAAAGTTCAAAAAGCCTACATAGTAACAATAGCTTAAAGGGACTTAACTGAGGTTTGTTGACATGACGGGTCTTGAACCATTTTTTAGGAATAAATGTTCCATATGATGTAGGTCTTTACCAATAACCTGTGTGCAAAGTTTCAGATCATTCACTCAATCCGTTTTTCCCGAAATAACTTTTCTAATTGTGAAAAATGACTCATAATTGAAAAGCGTTGCAACGCTTTTCACACAAGTCGGGCTTAAAATAGCAGATAAATTTTCAATTTTCAATTTATTTCTGAGTATATTCCGAAATATCTTTTGCATATTTTTCTAATTCAAGTGCCTAAACTGATATATGTAAGAAATTCAAATTTCATGTTTTTAGGCAGTGAAAATTCTTTATAAATGTGTTGACCGAATTTATTTTATTAAACCTTCGCCGCCAGTAAAAAGCCAGGCCTTATCAAATTTTTATTGTCGTATAATTGTACATGTATTCGCGGTGTTTATAGATAAATTGATATTGATCTTAGACAGTAGGATTTTTAAGTTTTGAAAGTTATTATTTGGACTAATTAGTTCTTTGGATTGATTAGAACAGAGCTGAAATTTTATGAAGATTTTACAAAGTACATCATCTGCAAAACATTATATTCACATATCATATGTAATATTAGAGATCAAAATGAGTTCTTCAACGGAGGCACAACGATTAATTGCTCTGTCTCGCGGGAAAATAGCAATGTCCACACAACAACGTGGTGGGACCAATTTACATAAGAACTTACTTATTGCGAGTGTATTTCATAAAGCTCGGACAACATACAAGAAGGATAATGTTCAAACTTCGTTGGCTAACAAACGTGCTCAGGCTGAGCTGGGAAGCTGACAAAACGATCGTTGAAACTCCTTGTGAATCAGGCAAAAAACTACGGTACCTCATCAGATCCCATCGTCTGATACCGACGGCCGAACCATTAACATTTATCGAGTCGCGAATCCATGAGGAGATTAAAACGCTCGTTGTGTGCACCGGGTGTTGTGTGGGACGTTTGGTGAAACATCAATTCTAGAAAAAATATACTTTCGTGGAATAACTTAGTTTTGGGATAGTTTTGCCTTTTATATTGACAAGAAAAGTGAAACAGGTTTACATCGTGGGCGTTGTTTACCTTTGTTATTATATATTGAAATGGCTATAAATGTTGTAACATTTAATGCTGAATAAATATTATGTTATGTTATGTTATGTTATGTTATGTTATGTTATGTTATGTTATGTTATGTTATGTTATGTTATGTTATGTTATGTTATGTTATGTTATGTTATGTTATGTTAACCTTTGCTGCCGAAGAATATAAATTTTTGCTAAACACGATTTCATTGGTCACCCGTGGCTGTATATGGACGCAATTTGATTCATTTTACCCGTTGATTACATGTTATGTTACATGTTAAAGGGACTCCACTGAGTTTTTTTTCGACAATATGGGACTGGAAATATTTTTTCCAGATAAATATATCATTTGATTTAGGTTTAGACCACTAATGTTTGTGCAAAATTTCAGATCATTCGCGCAATTCGTTTTACAGAATAATTATTCAAATTGTAAAAATGACCCAAAATGAAAAGCGTTACTCAAACCGGGTTAAAAAAAAGCATAAAAATACGATTTTCAATTTATTTCAAAGTATATTACTTAACTATCTTTGCATATATTCCTGTTTAAAGTGCCCCTAGCTCATTATGGCTTTTGAACCTCAGTGGAGTCCCTTTAACCAACTGTGGGTATCCGACGATGATCAGACCCCTCATATTTGGTATTTTCATGCAAAATCCCTTCCAGCAGTGTTCCTAATTCGAAGCAAAACAGACACATTATATACAAAATCGGGAGTTCTAGGGTTATTATCATCTCAAATTAATTTTTTTTACAAGTAAAAAAAATGAAAAGTGCAAATTTGCATAAAATATACTTTTGAAGAATTAATTTATTATATTCAAAAGTACATGTACATGTATATAAAACAATACACAAATTGAAAGTAAAATTTCCGTTTTTTTATTTATTTGAGTCAGTTGACATTATTTTGGATAATTTCTAATGTGAAACAATTTCATACTTGAGTGCGACGTAAATAAACAATGAATATGTGCACCCACCTCCCCACTACCCACTCCAGTAAATCTTTTTTTTTTTTAATTTAGGTTTTTAGGCGGAACTCCATTCCCTACTGCATGTCTTCAGATGAGCTAAAATATTTGAGTCGCGTCACGATAAAACCAACATAGTGCGTTTGCGACCAGCATGGATCCAGACAAGCCTACCAACTCTATTACAAGTATAGAAACTGATAGCAAACAGCATGGATCCTGATCAGACTGCGCGGATGCGCAGACTGGTCTGGATCCATGCTGGTCGCAAACCCATTATGTTGGTTTTGTCATGACGCGGCTCATTTCAAGAAAAGCTATCTTGCGAAAAATGTGCTAAGGTTTTAAGAAAAGTAAAAAGATTTAAGATTCAAGTTATAATTTACATGTTATATGCGTTTATCGACTGATTTTACAGTATTTATCACCATATTTGTACTGCGTGACTAACGCAGTAAGGGCTATTTTTGCATATTTTGACATATTTTAAGTAATTCGTTGATTTATAAGTATCGTTTGCAATTTGTAACTTCCTTTCTTTGTTTTATATGACAGTATTTTTCTTTTTTATATTTTTTTCTCATAAAAATAGCATGAAACTTGGGGCATGCTGCTTTAAACATCGAGTCTTGTTTTTAGAAGCTTTGCTACTATTTTTAAGTCGAACAAAATTTTAATATTCTTCATAATCTAGATATGCCTCAAATTTCATGAATGGATTTCCATGTCCTTCCGTCACATGATATTCAATGATATTGTATTATTTGATACCAAATAGTGTTACAATTCGCAATTGTATAAATATAATTCATATTTCCATTGTGTGTAAACATGCAATTACAAGTTTTCAGATAAATCAATTCTTGTTATTAATACTTAACGATTGTAAATACGTGGAAAACCCCGGATATAGAAGCTTATCTCATTTCAGGGAAAAACAAAACAACTTCATGTATGAATTTATTGCCTTTATCTACGAAATAGTAAATTTAACATGTACATGTGATGTGATCTATATATATAATAGATAAATCTATTTATAAACGAAAGGTAACATTTAAAAAAAAGTTTAATCTATAGAAGTAAAAGTAAGAAGTGAATAATTTGAATTCATTGAAGTTATAGTAAAATTTCCGTTATGTACATGTCGATTACATTTCAAGGCTGTGCGGGGGGGGGGGGGGGGGATAGTGGAGGAAAACCAGTCAGTTTGTACCCCGGCGTCTGTCCCCGAAATGCACGGTCATTACAGTCACAATGTACATGTAGTTTATTTTCACGTTAGAAATGCAATGTATCGGGAATATGTAAGATTTGCAGTACGGTGGCGGTGTGGGGTGCTCATTTAAATTTATCTGATAATCAGATATGTATCTGCAGCCAATAGCTAGTGTTCCGTTTAACAAAGTAAATTAAAGTAATCAATTGGCTAACAATTTAAGTTCATGCATACTTTTATTTACAGCAAATTAACTCTTCACCTATCATAGTCTACAATACATCCTTTTTAAAATTTCATCCATATATAAACTATGTTTATAGTATAATATGGATGAAATTTTTAAAAACAAATTTCCTTTGTTGATTTATTGAAAATAAGATATTTTAAAAACATTTTGAATGAAAAAATATTTTATTAGTGAAAAAAAAAAATTATAAAAAATAAGTGGGCGTGGTCATGTACATGTATACTATCGCCACGCACCGATTGCCTGTGATACATACAATATATTTTCGGTCTTTCTATCGTACACTGGTTTAAAGAGGGGCAGGGGGCGGGGATGAGGGAAGAGGATGTAAAAGTCGAGAAATATCCCGCTACTTAAGTTTACACAGTATCTTTCTAATTTTCTGTTTTCTGCACCATAGAGGGAAGTTAAAAATCAAATAATATCCGTAATTTAATCCAATATATCCTGTTAAAAAGCAATAACTTCTCTGAAATTGCATCATTGTCAAGTAGATCCTGTATGTCAAGGTGACGAGTTAGATTTCAAGGTCACATGGTCAATGTCAATATATATACATATATATATAAGTTATTTACGGAAAGCTTTTATGATATACATGTAATTTCAAAGGTATCTACATGTATATACATGTCTGCGTGCCACTTAACGCGGATTAATCCTTACCGCCCTAAATATCCTATATGGACTTGTCTGACTTTTAATCTGGACAAAGCCATTCGTCATTTTAGGGAAATATTCAAAATAAGGAAAGAGTGAAAACATCATACTGATCTTTTACTGTACTGGTTCCATTGTTATGAAGCAGGCTAGGGGGTTATTTAGGATTGTGTATAATTTAAAGAAATATGTCTGGCTGAAGGAACATGTGAACTTCGGAATATTCGAAATATTTTTGGCAGTTCAAACCGCTTTTATCCAGCCAGAGTTAACTATTTTAGACAAGACTGCAAGTTTAAAGTCATTCTCAGTTTTCTGCAAAAAATACATTTTTCTTTTAACTTTCTTTCAAATTCAGTCATGTATGTGCATGCATTTACTTAATCAATGACCTTTTCGGAAATATTCTGTAATTACGCATTTTTGATCGTCTATCTATTCTTGCGTGATTTTCTTATACATTGACATAGCAGACGTTCGTACGTATGTTATTGTTATATAATAACGTAACTTCAAAATACATGTACATGTATATGATCGAATTACTACAAGTTAAAGGTCGCACTCATTAAGTTGGTTTGTGTTATTAAGATGTTTAATTCATGTAACTTTTTTAAGGAAATGGTCGATATTTCTGTCTTAAACAATTAACGAAACAAAAAGTAAAAAAAAAAATGAATGTAAAAAAATATGTATAGTAAACGCCTTCGAGCACGATTAACCGCAGTAAATTAAAAATAGATTGTTTTCCTTGCATTCCTTGACTACCTATCAATTTCCCAACATGTTAATACTCGAAATAGAAACAATAGGCTACAGTGTATCCTATTTAAAGATAGGAACATGTTTTTTGGGGGGATTTAAACATTTTTCAAGGAAGGGAAAAAAACGTTTCGGCTTTGTTTATATAAATAGATAACAAGTGTTTATACAAACAAAAAGTAAGGTTAATAATTATGATTCAGCGAATTGAATTTGTATGTACCGTTCAAATTTCGCAATGTATCCTACACGCATATTTGTATGTTTGTGTCATTGTTTTTATCAATATCTATTATTTTCAATTTTCGGATTTGATAAAAAGATTTTTGTCTTCCTCTGGAAGCAAACGATACAGAAAAAAAGCGAAATATGCCGAAATTACGCGAGCTCACACGGAATACGACATTGTGAAGGTCATTAGCTTCTCCCGAACGGACACATTAATAGAGCTAGCAGGCATTGATGGCATTGTAACTTCACCTCACGTGCAGGATTCGAATCCGATGCAGTAAATGGCAAGTGATTTTAAGTCGGCAGCCTTACCTTATCCACATGCAGGTCGCATTTAGAGCTGGCCTGGCTCTATACGCAATGACTAATCAGTTTCGGTTTTAAAAAATGCACGGGTGAAAATACAGTACACGGACAATCATTTTTGTTGTAATATGTACGTGAACATTTTAAAGCAAGGGAAGTTTTTTTGAGGAAAGGATGGATATGCTAGGAATCATTTCTAGTTACATGAAAATGTAATCATATGATAATATTGAAATAAAAATGCAAAAACAATAAACAAAAAAAACGTCTACGTGATGTTGCATGAAATAAATAAACTGTTTAAATAAATGACAAGTTTTATCTAATAAATGCTTGGTAAGTCATATATCATAAGTTTAAAAGTTTCATATCTCCATGCATCTATAAAAACAACTATTGATTCTGATGTGTCCTGAATATTGCCATTGATAACGATATATATAATACTTGATATCATCTGGAGCCTTTAAAGGGGGATAAATAATTCAAAGTTAGAGTCCCCTGCTGATCCCCATGCTCGAGGTTATAATCAGTGACTGTTTGAACAGTCATACGTATACAATGTACGAATAGTGTCGTGAGGGCTATCCGAGTATCACATAAACAGAACTAGTTGCAGGAACTCTTGACTATGAATTATTAAACTATGTCAAAGTCTTCGTTCTGCGTGGACGGTTGGATGAGAAGTAATCTACAAAAAGCCCCCGAATCCCTCGCTAGTTGGCATACCACCCCCTCCCGCTATTTGGTGCCAAAACACACCATCAAATAGACCCGACAGGCTGAGGACAGAATGACTGTAAACTTATAGATTTCCCCCACTGGAATAAGTCGGGGCTTAATTGACATGCGCAAAATGCTTAACATCATGCAGTTAGGCGTATCCTCTCGTGAAATGGTAATACAATATGGGAACACAATGTGTGAACACAATATGTGAACACAATATGTGAAACACAATATGGGAACACAATATTGTAACAACTCTCGTTTCAGAAATATTATTTTTCAATCATGTCGGAATTAA